ATATATATATATATTTGTGTGTGTGTGTATGTATATATATATGTATATATATGTATATGTATATATATATATATATATGTATATATGTATATATATATGTATATATATATATATATATATATATATATATATTTGTTTACAGAGTGCATTTCAAAACTAAGCGAGAAAATTAATACGATTAACTATATGTTAAAAAATATATATGAAGGTTTCTATAACTTTTGGTGTGATTGTGTACGTATCAAACAGGTTATACCGTTTCGTAGTTTCAAAATGCACAGATACAGTTACTAACAGTAAAATTGCGATATTGTTACGATGTTTAAAAATGTGATGCTACTTGGCTTTACAGATATGTCCAGTACTTAAATCTGTATTTAAACTTAATTGTATATATATATTTTTTATTTATTTATATATATATTTATATATATATTTTTTTATTTATTTGTGGTGACAACAGTTGTGGCTAGTACATATACATTGCATTTTATTTTACTACATTGTTACAGTGACCTGGTACTTGTGCCGTGCAATTGCAATTCGATTATTTGCGAACATTGCCTAAAGCCTTATAATGGCCCTTTTCCAAACAATCTTACTTATAATTGCAATATAAAACGTCTAACCATCCGTAGACCTCATTTATCTTATGTGTATGGCTCTTCTAACGATGGTCCATTTCGTTCACAGCGTTCCAACAATTTCAATAGTCTCTGAGTTTTTAACTACAATAATTATCATTATTTTTACGTATTGAATATCCGTCGAAATCTTGAGGCACAACTATATGATCGTGATCCACGACGCGCAATCAAAGAGAGTATTTAAAATATACAACATATGTAAGTAAATGTCATTTTTTTAATCGCGTGAGTTAACTTATTGTATAAATCAGTGCAATTTTAAACAAACGGATAAACGTTTTGAGTTACTCGAAAAAAAAATAAAGAGACCTCACGCGGAAGAACGTAGTTGCAGCTAGTCACTGGGATATGAAATATTTCTGCGGAATTAACAACGCATCTCTCTATTACCATTCAAACTACAACGATGACGATGACATCGAAAACGACAAATCCGTTTCAGGTCAGACAGTGCAGAGATCACAGGATATAAACTTGATTATATTCTGCGACATCGATAACAATGTATTCACTTCCATCATTAGTTGTGCCAATCAAGATGAATACATCTGTATTTTTTTGTTATTACATCAACTTATTTCTCTCTCACAGATATAACTTACACGTACTTCATATTAAAAATATACATTGAAGTGTACGTACATGTACTTAACGTACATTTAACAAATTGCCTATTCTTATGGGTTCCGCTATGCATTATTATACTGTATGTTACGGTAAAATAGATCGGATAGAGTACATATAAACCTTGCATATAAAGTACTGCTCATGCTTTTCATCACATCACATTTGCGTGACTGCTAATAGAAGTGTTGAGATGTCGGAACACTCAGAATGACCTTAGATGGACTATTATGCAGAAAGAGCATGTTTAGTTTCGGTATCACAACAGGGCATTTTCAAAGAAAGAATTAACAAGTGTGTTCACAGGGCTTATAACATGTAATATATGATTAAATTTAAATTATATCCTGTAAGATAAGCACCAAGGAAATTTAAATATTATAAATATAACATATGCCGATGAGACAGAAAGAGAGAGAGAGAAAGAGAGAGAGACATTGAAACGTACACCATTCTTCATTTCATATCCGAAGTTTACGTAAACATTGCAACGGAAAATCTAATACTCTCCCCTCGAAACAATGTGAAATCGCTTCGTATTTCACTCGCGTTCACTCTTTAACATCGCGATCGAATGCGTATTACAACGTAATAATACAAGACTTTAAAATATAAACCATTTGCAAGCATTCACTGCGAGCCAGTATATACAATTGTTTCCCGTTCTTCTTTTTTCCTCGTGATATATTAATAGAATATCAATTAAATATAATAAATTTTGCGTCAATAGGAAAAGTTTAATAACTAGTGGAGACATATATATCTTTAATACATTAAATTTTACTTCATTATGAAAAATAACAATTTCTTTATATGTTTTTCTTTGATAAAAAAGTGTGTTGGCTAAGAGATTGCACTTTGTGATCATCTTAAAAATTCGTGATTAAAATTAGTGACTATACGCATCACCCCTTTCGTATCTCGCATACCGATTGTTCTCGTACAGTCGTATGAAACTTCTCTAATTATGCGTCAATAAAGAAACTGAATGTCGAGGGTTTCACCTCACCGTACAATCTTCGATTACAATTATAATAGAGGTTGCCTTCCCATACTACTTGTCAAAAAGTCACATTATAAAGCTTACAACATCATATATCGTTTCTCGTATATATATATCGCTTAATTAAATTATTATTTTCAAGACTTTATTAACAAATTGTACTGCATACACGATTTGGGAAAGCATCCTAACAGGAGGGCCACAAATGGTGCCAGGCACTATTCATTCATATACCTGCATATTCTCCATTAGTACGTTAATTACAATAATTTATCAAATACAACGCTTGAGAGCGATTCTCACCAGGATACATCCTGAGATTGTAAAACATACATTGAAACCATCTTGACACATTTTCACCTCACTAATTCCAGGAAGAAGGTAATTCTACATCGTACAATTGCAACCCTGTTTTGCCAAGTACTATTTTTTTTTATTTTACATTTATACACAAATTGTTGCCCGGAAACGATCTTCGCGTATCTGATATCGGAAAGAATATAATATTCTTTCTTTCTTTTCTATAATAATCTCTTATATATCACAGAATGAACCTCTGCGACGAAGAATTTTCTTAGATTTCATTTTTTTTTCTATATATAGTCCCAAATTCTGGAAGTTTTCTTAGTGTTGCATTAAAAAGAGGCTACAAATTACGCACAACTGATTATGATTGGCAGATCGTGATTGCAATGCGCGAAGAAGTACGTTTAGATATAATTTTGGTTTCACCGAAAGTTTACGATTAAAAGTTAATATTAATATCACTCTCGATCCTTCTCTTACGATAAGTTTCGTTTAATCACAATTTTTTTTAGTATACGGCATTATATCAGTGGTATGTAAACTCCCGTTACGCGTTTTTAGGCTTCAAGGGTTGCAAAGTTCTCGAGCTTTCTTCCTCCGTAATTTTTCTCGTTATCAAATGTGCAAAATACTTGTGGAAAATGTATATAACGTGTATATATATATGTATATATCTATATGCGCGTCCATGTGTATATCTTTTTTTTTATTAATCAACACTATATAATATGCCTATCTATCTATCTATCTCATATTTACCTTCATAACTCAATATATTAATTTCGAATCTTGTTCTATAGAATATCATGAATATTTTGAGTACAGCAGCCGATTTTCGCATGTTTGTCGAATATAGACCGTTAATAGACTCACTATGATTGTAAAGTTGTTTGGTTAATTTGACAATATAAAAATATTAAATGTTAATGTGGAATTTTTATCAATATAAATTTTGCGTTCAAATATATACAGAAAAAAAGAGAAAGAGAGAGCGAAAAAGTAAGAGGAAGAATGTAACTAACAAAAAGAAAAAAAGGAAATCAGCATTCTGCCAAATGAACTGATCACTGAAAGATAAATTATTGTTACTTTTTAACGGAATACGTTTTCGTATAGCGCGATAACGAAGCTTTCGGACAAAGTATACTACTTTTAGCGTGAGGTCATATTAACGGATTATGGCATTATATCTGACTACTATACCATACAAAACAACAACGAATTGTGATGGTAAATTCTGGTCTTTATGAATCTGAAACCCACCCCTCGGGTGACGTACAATTCGCGACGTAAGACGGGACACAACTCTGCCATTCGTGGAAAAAAACACTCAATTTGCTGTTTATCGAGCAACATGTAAAATCACAGACAGAATTGTGCTCCGGTTTCTATCGTGAATTGCGAATCGTCTAAAAAGCGGGTGTATGTGTATGTGTATGTGTGTGTGTGTGACGTATGTGTGCTGGTTTCTTCACAAGCTCTTTAGACTCGGTATTAGTACACTTTCAGAAATTTCACGATTGGGAACTATGTTATTCTCTAACATACTGTTTTCTTTCGCGTGAATCTTTTCCAAGCATCAAGGACACAATGCCATATCGCGAAAGTTATTACGAATTTATGACATATATACAAACAACACTTTATATTTTATATACATGAAAATATATATATATGTGTATCTATCATATATATATAATATATATATATAAAGTTTCAACATTATGGCACCGTATTTTTTTTTTTCTTCAAATAAATGTATATTCTGTGTCAGCTTCAAAATATAAACAGATTTTCTCCCACTCCGCCAGCTACGGCGACGAAGAACAGACATGGGGCCGCCACAGCTGAACGTTTTCATCGCGGTACGAAGTACGAGATACATGTGTCTCAAAGACGTTAAAATGAGTTTGTTTTAACATACTGGAACTCACACAAGCACTATGCGCCGTTGTACGTCGAGGTATGAAACAACTGAGTGCAACAATTCGATCGACATTAAGTCGCCCAACCCTCCGTGATTCTCGAGCGCTTCATGAGCGGCCCGTTCTCATAGTCTGAACTGTTCCCTCCGTTACCGCCACCGCTAGAATGGTTCGTTCTAATATCACCGACCGCACCACTTCCCGGCGACGGTAGATTTGTCGGCGTTATACTTCCCGAGTGGGACGGAGGTGGATTGCTGCTTGGTCTGCTTGATACTAAGTTCAGTGTCTGAGGGCCCGGATGGGATACGTGATGCGGCGGCGGACCACCGGTGCTTGATGAAGGGCCGACATTCAGGTTCGTGTGATGTAGATTGCTAGCATTGCTGGGTCCCCCGTTGGACCCACTGTTACCGCCGTGTGGGTCTCTGGGTGGACTAATCGGTTCACTCTTTATTTTTACAGGTAAAGGCGACGTAGACGGTGGTGGTGTACTGCTCGATACAGCTAGATGAGGAAGACCGCTGTAATATTCGAAAAAGTTTCGTGACGTTAAGCAGAAGAGATTCGTTACGATCGATTCGAGGTCTTGAGAGAAAAAGAGAAAAAAAAGGAAGTGCATAATTGTTCTTAACAGCGTAATAATCTAGTGGTATAGCTGTTTCCAATTTTTGCGCCCCAGTGCGATGATCTACTGATGATAATAAGCATGCGATCATACATAGAGCGTAAATGATAGTTAATCAACTTATGAAGTGACTCGTGAGAGAATGTATTTTTTTTTCGCGATCATGTCTCGTCATAGCCGCATAGTAATGCAGCTTGAATTACCTGAATAACGCATTCGCAAGTGAAAATGATACGTATCAAACACTCACAATGTAATGAACATGCCAAACACTATTGTAACCGAAAAAAAACTATAGAGCTCCAGTGGTCGTCGATAGTAATCATTATTATATCTAGCAGTGATATATTCGTGCATTGAAGCATTGAAGTAACGATACATGTTGAAAATTTTAAAAGAACAATCGAGGCAAACCGGAGAGAAACTGAGAGAAATAAAAAATTGTCATGTACAAAATACAAAAACAGAAACTTCGTGAAGTAAAACTTTGTGTTCTCAACGCAAGAATAGAAATCAATTGCAGATTAATGGATGTCGATTCCGACCATCGCGATATACGTGAATGGAACTCGCGAATTCCAATTTATTACAATTTTGTGAAAACTCGAAAGGTTTTATCACGCGTCGTGTTTGACGTTCACAATCGATTACGAGAGAAAGAGAGGAAGAAGGAAAGAGGATAGAGACATCGAGGACCAATAGGAATAAAATAACTGAATACGTCAAATATGTATGTATAAAATAACTGAAATGTCATACCAACTGGACATATAGCTTTCTTTCACAACAATAATTATGAAATATGATTTACCTGATGCTGGACATGGTGGCTGCCGAATACATTGATAAGTCATCAACGTACCTCTGATGAGACCATGTAAGGTTTCCGAGATCCGAGGAGTAATCTGTTGGTCCGAAACTAGAGTATCCAGCTGGTACTGTAGGTGTTTGTAACGCTACTACCGGTGTGTTCAACGCGGACTGCGTATGGGCATTCTGAAAGCACACAAAGCGCACGATTTTACATAAATTCCAAGCGTATCTCTCTTTTTAAACGCGTATCACTACATGTTCCATAATATTATTCTCGTACAACTTTTAAAAGAGGACAAAAAATACGTGTTGCCGCGTATTTCACGGAACTTTGTACTCTATACCAACCTCACTTCATCGTATACTTTAAAATTCAATTTTAATATTATTCCAAAGCATAGTGGATGCACAAAATTTTATATCGACAAGCAGTCACGACTTAAGGGAACGGAATACCACGGGGAGAATCCCTCGTTTAATTCGACACAGCTAAGTCGAGACGGTTACAATAATTACATCGTAATTAGTGTCTTCAGAGAGAGGTTGAGCGAGCGGCGTCGGTATGACCACTCGGAGATTAGCCCTGTGAGGATGAGGCGGCGGTGGTGGCGGTGGAGGTTGCGGCGAATGCCTAGATTGATTGCTGCCTTTATTCGCACTACCCCCGCCGACTCCGAGCGCAGGCGACGGTCCTGGACTAGGCGAGCCACCCAAAGGTGACGCTGACGGAGGATAGCCGTTGCTCATCTCCAGCATTCCGCCCGGAGGATACACTGTAATGAGGAATCGACATGTGTTGAACGAATCTTCTTTTCTCTCGCCTCCCCCTTTGGAGAATCCGAGGGGATTTTTCGTGCCGATTCTCCGTGTCGTGGCTCTCACTCTCAAAGGCTCACCTGAATCCGTTTCAGACGATGATGGACGTGGAGAAATGCTGGTGTGTGCCATCTGCGGACTAGATCCAAGGAGAGATTCGCCATAACTGTTGACTGGTACGGATACTGGTAGCGTGTAATTCGATTGTCCCATTGTCTGCAATCACAAAATCAGCAATGCTGATTAATAATAATTGTAACGAACGAATGTCAGGACATAGCCGATCCGTAGCTAATTTCAAATTTGCCGATATGCGCTTTCGTCTGAATTCTGTGTAACGTAGTGGAATACAAACAACATTTATCTAGTTTCGCTTATGCAGAACGATACCCAAATAGAACACTTGTGTAAAAACATTTATACACAAACTAACCGGCAGAGTAGTCTTAACACGCGGTGTAATTAGGCTGCTGGTATTTTACAACCATACACATTCGTTTCTGGACATTAACATAAACCTGGCCACAGTGATTGATCATTGAATTTGACGCATCGCGTTTGTGTGGCTTTTAAGATAATCAATAAATCATAAATCATAATGTGCGTTGCAAGATCCTAGTAATTACATAATAATTATACGCAATTACATCGCGTGTTAACGCTATTTTGTCAATTAATGTACGCGCCGCGTTGTACTGTCAGTTGCTGAATAAAGCATTGAAATACAATCCTTTTATAATGTAATTCGGAAATTCCTCTTTTACTTGTATCATGATTGATATTACTTGTGCAACGCTTTTGTACGCTTCTTAGTGTGTTGTGCGTGCGTGTAATGCAGCATTTAAAAATAATAATGTGTCTGACAATTGTCTCTCAACATCAACACGAGAACTTTACATGCAATTAAAGCAGATTCTCACGTAATCTTTTCTCTTTTTGTCCGTAGAAAAGTAAGTACAAAAATAATCATGGATCGCGCACGGAGAAATGGATCTGCGCTTTATATATTGCAGATCGTACAGCAATACTTTAAATAGCCCAGAAAATATGTTCGCATGTCAGTCACGTTTGAACAAAATTACAAATTTAGGACGTTCGGTTAATCTTTTATAAGAGGGACGATTCTGGATATTTTAGTAAGATATTTTAGAGATATTTTAGTAAGATATTTTAAAGGATCTTCATGTGTCACAGTAATTAATCTTTAAAGGAAATTAATTTTCCTGGACGATCTAAAAAAAAGACAGACGAAAAAATCGGAAACAAAATCGCGTGTCTTTTTACATACAAAAAGTATACTTAATGATGGATTTGACACAAATATCGTAATTTTTGTACGAACATCGATACTCGGCCTGACTGATATTTAATTGATTGAGCTGTATTTACCCTGCTGCCATTGTGCTGGTGCCTCTGCATCATCATCTGAAATTCTTCGTCGATCTTCGTGTATTTGGCTTCGGTGCGCGGAGTAAGATTGTATTCGATCGCATCGGGTTCCGGACTCTCCGGAGACATGGCACCCTTATGTTCCTTCTTGTTGAGCGCCTGCAAGTGTCAGCAGACAGGTTCACGTGACCACACCGCCCGAGGGCACTCAACCTTCACATGCACGTTAATTTAACCACACCAAGACGCGCGCTCGCTCGCTTATTCTACGCGGTTTATACTCCCGCAATTACGTCTCTGCGAGCAGAGAGAGATACAGAGAGAAAGAGAGAGAGAGAGAGAGAGAGAGAGAGAGAGATATGGGGAGATGGAATCGCTACCATCAAAATGAGACTGTATATTCGACAAATACGACGCGAAAGACGCGCGCTCACGATTTCCACGCGTCGGTGATCGCTTACAAAATCTATATAAATATGCAAAAAACTCGGACAAATGAGAAATCATCGGCAAAACAATCTCTAAATGCGACGAAACGACGCTTCGATCGCTCGCGGATCATTATTCTCAAGCAAAGCGCGCGAGGTGACGTAATTCGCACGCGTGAGTAAACGTTCCTCGAGCTACACGTAATATTATGCAGATAGTTCTCTCTTTTTTTCTTTCTCTCTCTCTCTCTCTCTCTCTCTCTCTCTCTCTCTGAAAGATTTCGCGCCTTCTTGCGTCTCCTCGACCGACGGCTTGAAATGGTCCAACGCCCGTGATTTTGGGCCTCAAAAATGGAAACTCCCGTTAAGAGAAGAAGCCTCTCGAAGTGTATCCAAAAGAGGATTATGTCATCCATGCACGCCGTCCCGCGCAATACTTAATTCGCAATTAAGCGTATAACTAATAGGATCCACCGAGTCGCATGACGTTGAATGAAGAGAGCTCTCATAATAATAACCCCGCTAACGAGCGCGAACTCCGCATTGCGCGGTTCGCTCTTTCGATACACCCTGTATACCGTATATTCGACATAGCGTGTGTCTTGACCTTGGCGTATCTGCGATCGCGAGTGTGCGATACGTGTCTTCTTCATTGATACTTTCGCGAGAGCAGGAGAACGCTCGGAAAAAGATAACGCCGGCATCCGATTGCCGAACGATTCGCGACGACGGGATCCTCGTCGAGATGCGAGGAGGACCGTATCACATCCTCGTCGCGTCCTGAGAATCAGCGGCGGATAAATGGACTCACCTCGATGATATTCTTGTTGGTGAGGGACTCGTGGGGTTCGTTGTACTCGGTGTACTTGAGGAGAACCTTGTCCATGTCGGTGCTCGCATACTGGTACAGCTTGTTGCTCGAACTGAAGATAATCAGCGCAATCTCGCAGTCGCACAGCACCGACAGTTCGTAAGCCTTCTTCATCACGCCGAATTTCCTCTTGTTAAAGGTCACCTGTCGCATACCAGAGAGAGAGGCGGATGACATATCGAAGCTGCGCCTCGGGCAGATTTCAAGATGCACGCAAATCGTTAAGGAGACGTCAGTACAGGGAGAAACAGTTGTTGTACGCGAGTATACGTCACGCGCGATAATTGATCGCTCACCGATCTAATAATCGATTATTCGATCGTTTCTCCGATAAATATACATTAAGAGAGGAAAAGATATCCGAGAGATAACATGTTTATTCGTGATAAATACTAATATCGTATTTGTCTAAACTTAGATTTTTTGGTTTAAATAGAAATAGCTTTCGTGAAAAGCAATGGTTTTGGAAAAGAAACATATGTTTTCTCATTTGAAAGAAATTAGATCTGTTCTTTTTAGCTGAACTGATGCAGACTAGTGCAATAAGTTCATGCAATATAGTTCAGATAAAAAGAACAGACCTATAATTCTCAATGTAAAAATATGTCTATTCGAGCAAACAAATTAGTTATTAGTACCCATCGAATATAAATATTTATTTTTCAGATATCTCCTCTCTCAGTATATGTATAATAGCAATAATTAATAGTCTCTTTGATTGCCTTTTTTGCACCTGTAAATTTACTCGCTTTTCTCTTTTTTTTTTTTGTAAAAAAAACGCCAATAAAATATTCTGTTCGAGGCCACGAAAATGTTTATAGCACTGAAGTATAGCGGGAACACGCTCGAAATCACAATTTTGAATATTGATTAAAACACATCACGGGAGTAGTATTTAAATATTTATCTCAAAACAGTGATATAATCCTTGGACTCCTGACCTTTCTACGGAACAGAAAAGGATGCAGGAAGTATTTAAAATTTTACGATATTCTGGTTTTCCACGTATTGCTATGGTTCTCGAAAACATGTCATCGGCGCATTAATTGCAATTAATGCTGAATAATGACGTAAGCGAGGCACATCAGTCCGCGCGATCCCGAAGCCACTCGTGCTCACCTGACGGTTCCGTTCGTCCGTGATACGTGAAATCTGTATCTTCTTTCGACCCATTGTTGCACCACGTCTTGGATAAGAGACAAGTCTTCAAAATCGCTGGATGGAATATTAAGAACACTGCAACAAAGAAAAGACACACGACGATTACTCGCCAGACTCGCCAGATCATGTCACAATATCATCAAGAGAAATGCAGAAATTGAACGATATAAAGCAGAATTTCTTTCCAATTATAATGCAAAACAGTACTCGCAGTTTATCGTAAATAAGAGGGGAAGTCGAGATTTTTTCTGATTGCATGTTCCTCGTGAATTAATCGAGACAGCGGGACCATGTCCGAAGCGGGAGTGACATTTTGACAGCTTTACGTCTCATGTGTCGATAAAAAGGGGGTTATTCGCTCACGTGTGACGCACGATCTACAAAAAAAGACAGTAAGAATGTTAATCCTCGCACTACCTCGACAACGACATTCTAAACGACGAGGATTCTCGTCGTCGACAGTGAAAGGGTTAAGAAGAATAAGAGTGAGAGGTTAAGGTATGAAATTAATGTAAACGACTAATTAGATATTACCTGATTGTTCGTTACACAAGAGCGGATGACTTTCTTTACTGACGCGCGTGCGAAACATCAAGTTGTCAAAATGTCGTCTTATCTCAATACATTTGCACTTCTTTGACTAACTGGCAGTCATGGGGAACTGACTGATAGCTAGAAACGGATGCAACTGATAGAAAACTTTCAACAGCTGAAAGAAAACTATCGACCTATCGATAGAACGATCTGTTTTCGATAGATCGTTAGGTACTAACTTTTCGACCAGACGCATGCGTATATAGCTTTACGTTTTTCACATAGTCGCCATATTCAATCATGGTTCTTGACGTCTTCGCGATGACACTAGTTTATCGTGTGTGTGTGTGTGTGTGTGATGTCACGTTGTATTCCCGCACGTTCACGACTCTCAGACTCAAGATCAAGATCATCACGTCTTGCCCTTCTGACGATGATTGCGTCGTCCTTCCGACGTGGAGGCAGGTGTTGTCTTCGATCGAGCGAGTGAATAAGGTATCGGCGGGAACCCGTATTAAGAGAGATAAAACTACCTATGCCTGGACACGTATCTTGCTTTGAACGTTGTTATTATTTTGGTCTTTAGATACGACTATTTAAATTTTCAACATAAAGAAATATATGTATATATATTAAATATATTCACATTATACGTTGAAAGTTCAAATATTCGTATTTAAAAACCAACACGGTAAGAATGTTCCAGATTAGGTACGTGTTCAGACATTGGTACTTCCATTTTGATAGTCATTATTTCAAACTTGTCTCACGTGACATTCTCAGATTGTGATTTAGAGCTGGACCTGAATCTTTTCGTTGAATCATATGATACACATGACGAATTATGAATTTGCAGCTGAAAAGCTCACGCATCTATCTCTAAATTCACAGTTCTAAGTATCTCATCTGAAGCAAATATCTCAAGTATTTTTACAGGCCATTATTAATACAGGCCTAAAAGAAATAATACAGTGTTTAGTAAGTAACGCGTTTAACGTTATGCAAGTAACTTCGCGTTTAATCTCATTTTGGAATTTACACGCTAAAAATAGAGACATTTTTGAGACAAGAATGTTCTTCTCTCCGTGCGACTTGGTCGTGTCCGAACAGTTTTGCAAGGCACTGCAACGCAAACAACATTTATTCGCGCGCGAACGCTACTCTGAATTTCCAGAGAACCGCCTCCCAGATTCAGTGCGTTCTATACGCGAGCGGTCTTTTTATTCGACGACAAGAGAATCGTAATATTAACGGCGACAGTGAGCCGCCGCCGTCAGATTTTCGAGCGGATTCTCGCACAGCTCGTAGCCGCGTTCTGAATTTAACGGGCATTTCGCACGGAAAAGCTCTCCCTTCCCCTCTTCTCCTCTGCTCTCCTCTCCGCGGCTATGGAAAACACGCGCGCGCGATAATAAACACGACGACGACAGTTCGCGAGGGAGAACGACAGAACTGGACCGCGCTTTAAAACCTAATACTCAATGGAAACTCTCTCGCGCGCGTGTCACTTTGCGCGTATCGATTCGCCGCCGTGTGTACGTACGTACGAGCAAGTTCGCGCAAAGCGCCTGTTGGCATGTGCCTACAGAATTGTCCACGTTCACGGGCCGGGGAACAAAGTGTCGAATCGTTTATTACCACTGCGAGATTGTGGCTTTCAAGCGGGATAATAAAAGAGAACGACACGTCGTGCAAAAGCCGACGTTGTTACGGGAGACGGTGTATCTCAATTGAATTGATAATTGAGCACCTCGGAGACACGAGCTAATGTAATTGAATTTTTTTTCGCCAAGTCCCGATAAACGTATCTGCTCCGCGACACGCACGAGTCTGTATATTCTCTTGAGGGAGAGTACGTCACTTTTCGATGAGGTAATTCTGAGAGAGAGAGAGAGAGAGAGAGAGAGAGAGAGAGAGAGAGAGAGAGAAGCGTACGCATGTTCCAGTAGTATTGCTGACGACTTTTCATGCAAAAATAATAATAATAAATAAACAGAGAAATTCGGTGGTCAATCAACGTATAATTAATGTCACACGTCGCAGAAAACTTTTCTTGAATGCAAAAAAGAAAAATGCTATTAAATAATAGAAGAAATTCGAGTTTCTCGCAGATTTTAACGAAACAGTGATGTCAAATAAATAGAATAACTCGGGGTGATATCATAAACAACGTACACTGAGAGAAAAAGTCTAAAAAATGTAGAAATATTTATTCGATACGTACACCAATAACATATTTACTTATATTGACGTACACATTTTCACATTGAAAACAATTTTCTTTTCAACAAAGAAACATATATTTTCCTAAAAAACACCGTTGTTCGTTACGAACGTCATTATTTATCTAAATAAAAGAATTTAGATTTAAGTAAATATGTTATTAACATTCACCGAATAAATATTTGCTGCTTAGATACGTTTTCTCTCAGTGAGATAATTAACGTTACAAATAAATTCTCATCGCAGAAAAAGAAAACATTTTATTGCAGAAAAATGTTTGATGTCTAAAGATCCGTCTACAGTGAAATTAGTAGGCAATATGACGTAAGTAGTAAACAAATTGACCAACTACACTCGATTATTCTTATCATAATCGACTATGATTAGTCAATTTGTTTACTACTTACGACTTACTGTCTACTGCCAATTTCATTGTAGACAGATCTTTATGGAATTCAAAGAAAATTAAATATCTCTCGTAAAATAATATGATGTTAACATCACGATGTAAGAAATGTAAGAGATTGATAGATAATGTTGCGCTACTCTCCAGCGCGTCTCGCCAGTTGAAGGTTATGCGACCCTAGCGACACACACACGTATGCGTGAGTGAGCGCCGAGCGATCACAACATTGTTTAACGTGACGGCGAACGGATCAGGAGATGTCGCGCGCGATTTCCGATTTTTCCGACTCGATCGACGCGTTAAGGTTAGGCGACTGTTTCCCGAAAAGTGGAGGGGATAATGTTGATACCAAGGAAAATCTCTACACGATATAATTTAAAGATCTGTTCTTTGTAACTGCACTGTTGAACTAATGCAAAAAGTTAGAGTGATATAAAACGTATATTTGCCTCACTTCAATTTATTGCACCAGTTCAGCAGTGCAGTTACAAAGAACAGATCTTTAAATTATAACGTGTAGAGATTTTCCTTACCAACATTATCCTCTCCACTTTTCGGGAAATTATCGCCTAACCCGCGTTACATTACTTCGCGCGTGTAATCATCCCGCTAAGAGCATATTCAGCGACGACTGCATCCTCGAATCTTCGAGCTAAACGAGAGTAACTAGTACTCTTTGTTAGTATTTTTTGTTAGTTTGAGAAAAAATATACTGCCTTGAGCCTGGAATATTCTCGATACTTTGACGTTTAACGATAAAAACTAATCGGAAAACGTACTCTTTGTCTCAGAACTGACGGATTTTGAGAGGTCCTATGAGAGATGCGGCTCCCAGGAGGTGCATGCGGATGCCATACCAGAGGATCCGATGCGGTCTAAGCAGAATCGACTCGAAGGTGAGGTTTAAAAACTCTTTCGCGTTAATTTTCGTAATTTTTACTCTCGTATTTAATTATTTTAAAATTATTATCAAAGTCAATGCAATTTACTTTGCTCGTAATAATTTTGCATGTACACTGAGGGAAAACAAATGAGTCTCACCATAGATTATAGTCACTTGCGGCGCCAGTCAAATTTTTTAGTTTATTTTAACAATAAACAATACTAGTAATTTGCATGTAAGCTTATATCGATATATAATATAATCAAATATAATCGTAAATATAATCAATCAGATAATAAAATGATATAATAATATAGAATTTTTACTACAAAAATAGCTTTCCCGATTAGAATTATTTTGTTCTATGCAATTATAGTTTAAGTTAACATTATCAAGTGCTTTTTAATTAATTAAATTTACTAGGTATTTTTTAATTAAAATATCAGGTTTCTCTTTTCTCTCAGTGTAGAACTTTGCATGTCCATGTTTGTCCATCCATTGAAATGTATTAGTTGAAACTATTAAGGGGTCGCTTGTTTAAATAATTGTATAAAAAATAACTTGTTTATTAGATATTATTTAGATCTCAATTTATTTTATTTAAGACATAGAATTATATATTTGACGGAATAGTTTATTCAATTTAATCCCTAAATTGTTCCAAACAATGCAAAATGAACATCAAAATTGCGTCTCAGAATGGCGCTTCAGAATAGCACGCCAAAGTTGCGTTTTAAAATAACGTGCCAAAATTGCGCCACTATATGCAGCATCTATGATCTCCCCTGATTTTGCTCAATAAATTATTATTAACTCGCAATTTGTTTCGCGACCAATTTGTCAATATTCAACACCAAAATTTATTTACGACGGATTACGATGTCATCTTTCACGCGAAGCGTTAAATTCGATGCGCATATTGATCGTTGCCGTCGAGATTTAGAATTCACGCGAAACAAAAGCCTTGTTTTTCGACAAAGCGCAATCATTCACTAGACGAAATGTTTTCGTTTTTTCTCTCTCTCGCGT